CTTTGCAGAATCACATTGGTTACACATCCACTGATTTACATGTTGCCATACTAGTGTCTGCTGCCTTTCCTATCCTCTACTATCCCCCTCTCTCCTCCCCTCCCCTCCCATCTTCTCTCTCTACCCCATCTACTGTAATTCATTTCTCCCCCTTGTTTTTTTTTCCCTTTCCCCTCACTTCCTCTTGTATGTAATTTTGTATAACCATGAGGGTCTCCTTCCATTTCCATGCAATTTCCCTTCTCTCTCCCTTTCCCTCCCTGTTTAATGTTAATCTTCTTCTCATGGTCTTCCTCTAAAATATTTTTTTTAGTTGTAGCTCTCTTTGTAAGGGTAAAAGAAATTGAAGTTAAAGTGTAAAAGTTAAAGGGTAAAAGACCGGGTATTGTAAAGTTTCTAAGCTGCAAGGTCTGAGTTAAAATGTAAAGGATTAGGTATTGTTAGGTTTCTATGCTACCTGCAAAACCTGAAATCCCTGTAGCTGTTAGGACAATACTGGAACTGCCCAGTAAATATTCCCACTGACTCCCTGGTTGTCTAATAACCTGGGACTCTGTGTAACTTGTCACGTAGTCATTTAGGCCCTAAAACCAATCAGTTTGAATGTGTACCCCACTTAGGAGTGACTAATCACCCCCATCAGACCTGTTCCCGCCAATGAATGAACTAATCATGTTTAGGAGTTGTTGTTCAGTTTTTCCGCGCCTCATGATGATTTGTTCTGATGTATACAAAGCCCCCCCCCCCTCCCCAAGAAGTGTACTTAAGCACTGCTTGACCTCTGCTCTGGGCTCTGGGCTGCCCTCCCTTCTTGAGCGAGCCTGCCCGGAGCCTCAGGGCTGAATTGGATCCTCAATAAACTCCCTCCTGCTTATTGCGTGAAGCCAGTCTCTTGTGGTCTCTTCCTCCGACGCTTCGCTGAACCCTTACATCTTTCTTTCTTTTTTTCTTTCTTTCTTATGTCTGGGAATACCCTTCTTTCTTCCCTTGTCTTTATCTGTAGAATGCCTAAATTCTTTTTTTTTTTTTTTTTGAGAGAGAGAGAGAGAGAGAGAGAGAGAGAGAATTTTTTTAATATTTATTTTTTAGTTCTCGGTGGACACAACATCTTTGTATGTGGTGCTGAGGATCGAACCCAGGCCGCATGCATGCCAGGCAAGCACGCTACCACTTGAGCAACATCCGCAGTCCAAAAATGCCTAAATTTCTTAAAAGCTCATTTAAAAAAATATCTTTTATTTATTTAATGTGCTGCTGAGGATCAAACCCAGGGCCTCACACATGCTAGGTGAGCTCTCTACTGCTGAGCCACAACTCTAACCCCTAAAGCTCATTTTTAATATCACTTCTGTCATTAAGTGTTTTTGGGGACTGATGAACCCAGCCTAATCCATTTTAAGATTGAGAGCCATCGCATCACAAAGCCATAAAAAGTTAATTTCTGTTTTACTGTAAATTACTGAGATTTCTACACTTGTTTGGAAGTCCTGCCCATGCTCTGAACTCACCCATGTCTGGCTTTCCTTGACAAGATAACAACCCTCCTTGAAACTTCAGTGGCGCCTCATAAATTCTGATGTTGGGATCTGAATTTACTTCTATCTTGAAATATCACGCTATGTAGATCTTTAACCTGCTAGCTGTCTTTGTATTACACTTATCAAAATCCTGTTATCTGTAAGTTTTCAAGACACCCCCCCCTTTGCAACTTTTTGTGCAATAAAACCTTGTTCCTGTGTTATGCTCGAATTCGGGACCCCCAAAAGACCACCAGAGACCAAGATTGATGTAAGCAGCAAAGAGGCATTTATTGCAAGCTAGCTTGGTCCTCTGTGCACACAGCAACTGGTGACGCTGAGAAGCCCAGAGCCCAGGGTTTGCAGCAGTTTTATACATTTTTTGGAGAGGGCAGGGACTTCACATACATCATAGCCTCTTTTAGCAAATTATCACACACCGCGGAAAATCAAATAACAACTCTAAAACATGATTAGCACATTCACTGGCAGGAACAAGTTGGGTAGGGGTGATTGGTCAGTACAAAAGGGGTATTCATTTGAACTGATTGGTTTAAGCCAAGAGGGGTGTACATGCTGAACTACATGGTTTCCCAATATGTTATCAACCACCATAAACTACTGGGAGGGTCATCTGGCATCCCAGGTATTTCCCTGTCTCATGCTGATTGGTGGCTGCTAGGGGGCTGCTATGGGTCCCCACCTAGCCTGACTGAGTCAGGGACACCTGGTGCAGCAGATCTGTTATTTGTAGATAAACAACTTAGCAGGGTGGAAATGTGCTTAGGAGTGCTCTGTGGGTTTTTCCAAGGACAAAGGCCATGTTCCTTCCTTGGACAGGCTTTGCTCTGAGATAGAGGCTGGTTTTTCAATATACTCCAATTTTGATTTAAAATTGGAGTTGGTGGTTGTGGTTCAACAGGACCTTAAACTGAATATTAGTCTTCCTTTGAACCTTTATAGAACTTTATACACACTTTTATTTCTATGATTACCAGATTTTGCTTTATGGCAATAAATTATGGTAATAATCTGTGTATTCCAGTGTTTCTCAAACTATTGCATTAGAAGTGCACAAAATTATATAGAAAAATGAACAGAGAGCCCCAAAGCTGTCACAGAAGCTGTCTAAAAAATTAAAATCTAGGGCTAGGGATATAGGTCTGTTGGTAGCATGCTTGCCTCCTTACCTCACATACAGGAGGCCCTGGGTTTGATCCCCAGGACCACCAAAAAAATACATAAATAAATAAAATTTAATGTGAAAAAAATTAATGTGAATCGTGCAGCCTTATTAGGCCAATTTTTTTTAAATAACTTTAGTTGTAGATGGACACAATGCCTTTATTTTATTTATTTATAAAATAAAGATTGGGGGCTGGGGTTGTGGCTCAGCGGTAGAGCATTCACCTAGCACGTTCGAGGTGCTGGGTTCAATTCTCAGCACCACATAAAATAAATAAATAAATAAAACAAAAGTTAAAAAAAAAAAGAAAAGAAATACCCAATCTTGGGCTGGGGATGTGGCTCAAGCGGTAGCGCGCTCGTCTGGCATGCGTGCGGCCCGGGTTCGATCCTCAGCACCACATACAAACAAAGATGCTGTGTCCGCCAATAACTAAAAAATAAATATTAAAAAATTCTCTCTCTCTTCTCTCTCTCCTAAAAAAAAAATATTAAAAAAAAAATAAAATAAAGATTGAATCCACTGCCTCACATGTGCTAGGTGAGCACCCTACCACTGAGCTACAATCCCAGTTCACAATTTTTTTTTTTTTTTGAAAGAGAGAGAGAGAGAGACAGAGAGACAGAGAGAGAGTGAGAGAGTTTTCTAATATTTACTTTTCAGTTTTCGGTGGACACAATGTCTTTATTTTATTTTATGTGGTGCTGAGGATCCAACCCAGTGCCCTGCGCGCATGACAGGTGAGCGCATTACGCTTGAGCCACATCCCCAGCCCCCACAAATTTTTTTTTAAAGAGAGACAGAAAGAGAATTCTTTTTTTATGAGAGAGAGAGAGAGAGAGAGAGAGAGAGAGAGAGAGAGAGAGAGATTAAATTTTAATATTTATTTTTTAGTTTTTCCGGCGGACACAACATCCGTATGTGGTGCTGAGGATTGAACCTGGGCCGCATGCATGCCAGGCGAGCGCGCTACCGCTTGAGCCACATCCCCAGCCCACCCCACAAAATTTTTAATATATTTTATTTTTCAGTTGTAGTTGGACACAAAACCTTTCTTTTATTCTACTTATTTTTATATCGTGCTGAGGATTGAACCCAGGGCCTCGCACACGCTAGGCGAGTGCCCTATCACTGAACTACAACCCCAGCCCCCAATTTTTGTTTTTAATATAAATATGGCACACTATTCAACTAACACTCCAGGAAGATATGTGTATTTATTAATCCCAGGGATCTGGGTTACAAAGCCCTTCCTTGCCACACCTCCACTAAAGTGTAATCTTGCTAGAAGGCACAGACTGCCTATTGTTATATGCATCCCCTGCAAAACCAATACAGTACCGTCCACAGATGTTATAGTATTACATACACAAAAGTATATTTAATATATATAAAAGTGTATTATTCATTTATCTTTAAATATTTTTTAGGTGTATATGGACACAACACAATGCCTTTATTTTTATGGGGTGCTGAGGATCCAACCTGGGTCCCGCCTGTGCGAGGTGAGCGCTCCACCGCTGAGCCACGATCCCAGCCCCAGTATAAAAGCATATTTAATATATACTTGTTTTGTTTTTTTGGTGCTGGGCCTTCCATCTGCGAGGCAAGAGCTCTGCCAATGAGACATGTCCAAGCCCTTTCTCATTTTTTATTTTGAGACAGGGTCTCCTCAAATTACCCAAGTGGGCCCCCGAATTGCAATCCTCGTATTCGCCAGTGGAGTAGGAATTTTAGGCACCAGCCACCTTGTCCGGCGCTAAATGTTTAGTGTACCTAGAACTGTGCTCCCAGTTTCCAGGAGTTTAATCCCATGAGGTGGTCCTGACCGATTATGAAGCCTACCCAAATAGTGTTCTGAAAAACGACTCTGGTTGGGATTCAGGCTCTCCGTTCCACACAGTTAGTGACACATCGAAAACTGTTGAGTATCACTTTAAAGTCGACTCACTTTGATCTCGAAATTTCATTTCGGGAAATCGATAATTTCCTGTTAACCTTGTGTAGAGCTTAATTCTCTCCAATTAAGAATACGGTCTGAGGGTCTGCAGCCTACTGAGCAGTGGGTGATTGGAGCTGAAGGAAGTCTGAGCCCGCCCAAGAAGCAGCCCTCCCTCAGGTGCCCGGCAGGCTTCCAATTGGGTCTTGTGGCTCACTCTCTTTCCAGGTTGGTGTTCCGGCTTGCCCGTCGCCGCTATAGAACCCGCCTTTAGCCAGCAACGATTGGTAAATCGTTACGTCACTGCCCCATCTATCCCCTTCTGATTGGCTCTCATAGGAAGGGGCGGTGGCAACGTCACGGGCAAGAGCCGCCATTTTGACTGAGCAACCATAGTGACAGGAGCCGAAGCAGCAGCGCAGGTTGTCCCCGTTTCCCCTCCCCCTTCCCTTCTCCGGTTAACTACCCGGGTCCCCTACACTCCACAGTCCCGGTCCCGTCATGTCCCAGAAACTAGAAGAAGAGAACCCTGCGGAGGAGACCGGCGAGGAGAAGCAGGTGAAAAGGAGGGGGTGCGGGTGGGCGAGCCGGGGGCGACCGTGATGGGGCGGGAGACAGTCTTTTGCCAGTGCGGATTGGTCGTCATGGGCTCAGGCTCTGCAGGGGTTGGTCACATCTTGCGTCACTAAGGGTGAGTTTCAGTACCGGCTGGTGTTTTGGCTTTGGTTAGTTAGGTCCCTTGTCAGTCAGGGCCATACCCTTACTGATTGGCCAGTACTTCCTGGGCCCAAACCGTGGAAACTCTGCTGTAATTGGCCGAGCTTGAGCGTGGGGCGGGTGTTTGGAAAGGGGCTGGTGGTCCTGGATTGTGGTGTCTCCTTCCGTTATGGAGGCGGATGACCCAATTGCTAGCCTGAGGCCCGCGTCCTCAATCCGCGAAAACATGCAGGTGGAGGCAAAGAAGTTGAAAAAGAACTCGCGCGGGGGGAGGGAAGTAATCCCTGCCGTGTCGAGTTCAAGTTGGCAACTTTCTTAGAGACCTGTGTTGGCGGTCGGGGATGCTCTGTCGTTCTCCTTCAGTGAGGACCACCAAGATTGGAGAGGACTAACGGGCGCCGTGGCGCACGCCTGTCATTCCAGCGACTCGGGAGGATCCACGCCGGTCTCAGCACCTTGGCGAGGCCCTAATCAGTTTAGCAAGACCCTGCCCCAAAATGAAAAATAAAAAGGACTGAAGATGTGGATGGTTAAGCGGCCCTGGGTTTAATCCAAGGAATAGGACTAGGTTAAACCTAGAAAAAACGCTAACAGAGTCTTGACAAGAAAAGACTGTTCCTCCAGATTTCCAAGGCAATGGGACTGGGCCACCTTGATGATTGTGTGATGAAAACACGAGCGCTGGGGTTTGTATTTTCACTTATGATATTTAGTGTTGGGCTCAAAGATTCATGAATTACACTTGGTGTTATAGCTAAGGGAAAATCCTCTAAAAAGAGCCACACATTGACTCCAGGTTCTTTTTAAAAAAAGTCAGTAAAGAGGAGCAGGGCACACAAAAGCAAGAAGATGACAACAGTGAGAGCCCCTGAAAGGCTTTTGGTCTCTCTGCATTCCCCAACGTCATCACTTGCCTCACTAAGATAGTCATTGTTTTCTTTTCTTTTTTTTTTTTTAATGAAAACTGACAAATAAGTACTAGTGAACCCACTGTTTCTTAATTTTCCTGAGGTTAAAAACTGTTTTCATCTGTAACTATGACCTTCCTACCACAATATTTGAAGAAATGTTGAAGCAATGCTGTGCCATTACTCAGGGGAAATCTTTGGAGAAAGCCACATAGCTAAGCCTCCTCCATAGGGAGATTTACCAGATGGGTTTCTTTGACTCTAAATAAGGAGAGAACATCTCACAAGACTTATCTCCTTTGATTTCCCATTGGGTCTGCAGGACAGCCTACGGAACCCTCCTACTTATCTTGTATCACCAAATGCTCCCTCCAGCTTTTTTCTCTTTGTCTTTCCTTTCTGTGCTGAGTGAGCTATGGCTCACTCTTATTCAAGTATTGTATTTATACATTACCTTTAACCCAGTACTCACAGGTCACTGGGTTGGTTTCTTGGATGTAGTGTGAGAAGTAGCTTGTCTTCTCACAATACAGTCATCTTAAGCTTTAGTGGTTTGAACAAAAGTCTAGCTTTAAGAGCAGAGTACAGATAGCTTGTTTATACCTGGGTGGATCTCCAGGAAAAGTTGATGGTAAATGGTTATCAGATATTGGAAGCAGTTGTTTCTTGATCTATAATTTTACTTCACTCATTTGTTTTCTTTAGGACACGCAAGAGAAAGAAGGTATTCTCCCTGAGAGAGCTGAGGAGGCAAAGCTAAAGGCCAAATATCCAAGTCTAGGACAAAAACCTGGAGGCTCTGACTTCCTCATGAAGAGACTTCAAAAAGGGGTACGGAGCACAATCTCTTACCCTCTTTCTTTGGACCAAAAAGGAGTTCTACGGATGATGTCTACAGAGGTTCTATTGGTTGGGGGGCAATTGAGAATATAGGAATTAGAAACTTCAAAAGAGAGCTGCTGCAGTGACACACACCTATAATCCCAGTGACTCAGGAGGCTGAGGCAGAAGGATTGCAAGCTCGAGGCCAGCCTCAGCAACTTAGCGAGTCCCTGTCTCAAAATAAAAAATAAAGAGGGCTGGGAACGTGACTCATTGGTAAAGCACACATGGATAAAACCCCCAGTACCAGAAAGAAAAGAAACTTCAAAAGAGGAAAAAATATATATATTGTACATCCCTGATATAGTATCAGTACCCTTCTGGTCTCCCTCAGTTAAGGCTTAAAGTAGTGACATTTGGGTATGTGGAAGAACAAGGGAATGAGGGAAGGATGCTCATAGAGACTGATAATGCAGACTAGCCCAAGGCATTTGCATGTTTAAATGGTAGAGGTTTTAGGGCTGTGTTTTTTAGGGTTCAGAAATAAATTTGGGGGTATATTATTTCAGAGAAAGATCAAGCCATCTGTCATATAGAAATCAACTTGAAATGATTAGTCAGTTTGTTCATAGACCCTTAAAGTTAGCACCAGCCATCAACTATAATCCCTCAAGAAACTTATTTTTCCTGTTCCAAGTGGTCTTTCTCACAAAGGGAAAATCTACCTTCATAACCATCTAGCTCCTAACCAGATTTCTTAGCCCATAGAGGTTCCTTAAGCTGCTGAGGAATTATAAGACATTATACGAGAGTGTGCTTCTCTGGATGACATGGAAAGCGAAACACATCCCTGTGGAGAATCCCAATTATTGAGTCTTAGTCACAGATGATAATGTGATGCTGATTTGCGGTTTACCTCAGTGTAGGCAAGACAGGCGTAGGCAGGCTGTCGCAGCCATGGAACATGTGTGGGAGTGGGGAGTGGTGGAAATCAGAGATAAAACACATTATCCTCACCAGCAAGCCCAGTTTCTAATCCTGGTTTACGAGAATAATTTTTGTCTTGAGGTTGATCTACTGCTAATTACTGAGACCAACCCAGATTGACCCCTTTATTCATCTTATTCATTTCTTTTTAGCACCACATTATTGCTTTGCACCTAGTAAAGTCCTCAGTCAGCCTTTATGAATGAAGAAAGTTATTTGGGTTAAACCATCCTGTACTAAGTAAGGTTCAAAGGATGTAGGACTGTCCCTCAGCTCTAAAAATGCATATTCTTGCTGGGAACCTGCTTATATACCTGAAAAAGAACATACTGGGGAGAAGACATAGGCACATGTTGTTGTTTTTTGTTTTTTTTTTAGTTGTAGTTGGATACAATACCTTTATTTATTTTTTATGAGGTGCTGAGGATCAAATTCAGGGCCTCACATGTGCTAGGCAAGTGCTCTACCACAACCCCAGCCCTGTACATGTTATTAATATTAAACTGTGTATACATGAGAAATTTAAGAGATCTGAGTGTGGATGGGGGTTTATAATGGATGGAAGATGTGAAGCTTCTTGCTTTTGAGAAATGCCAGAACTCCTTACTCACCTAAACCTTCCTCTTGTTTCTTAGCAAAAGTACTTTGACTCAGGAGACTACAACATGGCCAAAGCCAAGATGAAGAATAAGCAGCTGCCGAGTGCAGGACCAGACAAGAACCTGGTGACTGGTGACCACATCCCCACCCCACAGGATCTTCCCCAGAGAAAGTCCTCACTCGTCACCAGCAAGCTTGCGGGGTAACCTGGGACCCCTTTCCTCCCCTTCCTCACCCTCTGGACTCATATATTGTAGGCAGGGATGGAATGGGCACATAGTCACATCTTCTCAGCGTGCTAGCTAGGAAGGACTTGAGATTCTGCTGGGGGATACTGAGAAGGTAATGTAGGTTGAAGAGGGGCTCTGAGTTTGTTTCTTAGTGGCTGAGACTTCCATACCCTCACTGTAGCCCAGGTAGGTGCCCAGAAATAGGAAAGACTAGGATTGGATAATGCTGCATACTTTGTCTTTTGTGAGAAACTGGAAAGAGATGATTTCTCCTTTTTAAAAGAGAATGTCTCCAGATTGGGAATAATGTGGCAGGTTTAACATCCTAAGACTAACCTGACATAGTTGGGAAAGGTAGATTGAGACATGTTTTCTGTGCTTCTAAGTGTTTTGTCCCGTTAGGCTGCTATTGCTTCATGTTTTCATTATGGGAGGTTTAGAGAACACGCAAAAAGGAAAACCGATTTGCTTGCCTAAGACTATAGTGCCCACTTAACCTCCTTTATTTAGTATCTCTTACAGTTTGTCCTGGCTTGCAAATGATGTAAACTTTGATGAACATTTCTGATGGAAAATGGGCACCTACTCTCTCTCTTCCAGCATGTTACTTTTGAAAGTTTTGTTGAATAGTGGATCTAAGAGCACTGATTCAGGAGTCAGAGATGTTTGGATTCTAGTTCGACTCAGTGTTGGCAGACTGTTGTATAACTTGGTAACGTCATTCAGCCTCTCAGCATTTCTGTTTCCTCATCTGTAAAATAGTTAAATATGTATAAGACTGATTTGATCCTAAAATTCTGTATCTGCCAGCAGAAAAACTTTGTGCTAGTTCATCATAAAACCAAAAGTGAGAAAGGCCCATGGGTGAACCTCTGCTTTGTATTACTAGGAAAATACTACAGAGGGGAATTAACTATTCAGGGCTACATGAAAAGGAAGTTTGAGATTTGAGGGCTTTATTCAGGCAACAGAAACTTACAGGTATCATGGTTTTGAGGGTCAAGAAAAAAACATAAGACGCTAGCGAGCGAAGATTTTTACCTCTATTCCACCCACTTTCCCTGCCTACTCTGGGTCTTAGCTGCTAAAAAGCTGCTCTGGCAGAGTTGGAGGGCCTGAAGAAACATGCTCAGTCAAGCCCATTTGAAAACCCATGTTTTTAGATGTAATTAGTTGCCAGGTGCATTATTAGGGAGAGAGAAAGAAGGGATAAACTGAGCTAGCCCCTCCCCCAGAACTCAGTTCTACTGCAGGATTGGGGCAGCAGCTTCTTAGGAGTTCGTTCACCCAGGAAGCTGGGAAAATCTGCCTTTCTAGAGCTCAGTAACCCAGCTTTTGTGTGATAAGGAGAGGTAGCAGTACTGATTCAGGAACAGGTGTAAGGTGCATGGTGACAGCATGTTCAATCTGGTTATTAACAGCTTGGCCTGAATCTTACTGAATGCAACCTGCTAGTTATGACAAAGAGGGTCAGGCTGAGAACCAACTGTTCAAGAAAGCAGGATTCTGTAATCCTTTCTTGCCCCTTCACCTCACAAGTTCGAATATGTCAGACATTTGGCCTGTTGAGAATAACTGTGAACTTGCTGGTGTACAGGGGGGATGAGCTGGGTGTATACTACTCTCTCCTGACTGGCTGTTTTCTGGCTGTTATTCAGATTGGATAGGAAAAGAGGCTGGTGAGGAAGGAATGGAGAGAGCAGGATCCCTGAATTCCCTGGATCCCAAACTCCTTGACTGTCACTTGTAATTGTATATAATTTTTTTGTGTTTCTTGCTTCATTTCCTCATGCTGTCATTCTTTAAATCTAAAGTCCATGTGGGAAGGGGAAAATGCCAAACATCATTGTATAGTTTCCTCAACTGTCCCAGCCATGTTGTACATAGATATGTCATGTTATTATATATATAAATATATATATAATTTTGTACGTTTTCTTCATCTCCGATCTTCTCGAATTCTGTACTTTTTTCTTTTCTGTCTGAGCTGCTTTCTCTATTGGTCAGTTTGAGTCTTCAAGACTGATGTTCACAGTGAGTCTGGATTTAAGGAAAGAATAGAAGGAATAGGGAAATCAAACAAACTTTTAGTCTTACACTCTCACTACCAGATCATCTTCAAGGTTAAGAAACTAAAAAGCTACATTTCTATATGTGCCACCTGTTTACATAGTATGAAGTACACAGCTTCCTTAGCAAGAATGGGTCATCTCACGACCCAAATACAAATTGCTTTGGTCAAACCTAGATTATTAAATACACTCAAAACAACATGTGCCTGGTCTGACCCTGGCCTCCACACAGTCACCACCTCTTCACTGTGCTGCCTCAGGCTTCACTGCAGCTGAGTGACTGTGGCCATGCCTCTGAAACCAAACCTGCTCTGAGCCTGGCAGTTACTCCCCTGGAAACCAGTTATTTTGCTCTTGTCCAAAGAATTGTTTTTCTGTGTTTTCCATGGGTTCCTCCAAAACGTCAGGAAACATTCTATTTGTGGATAGGAATTATTTTTTAATTTTTGCAGTTCCCTTAAGGATAAGATTGAGGCATATACCAGGTAGCCTAATGATTAAGTGTGGAAGAATCATGGGATAGATAGAGACTGGGATGGAATTCAAGGTTTTTCCCCTATTACTTGACAGTGTTTTGTTTTGTTTTTTTCCTTCTGTGTTCGTCCACAGTGGCCAAGTTGAATGATGCTGCCTGGGGCTCCGCCAGATCCTGAGACGCTGCCCTCCTGGGTCCTGTGCTGGCTCCTGCCCCTCCCTGCTTTTGCAGCCAGGGGTCAGGAGGTGGCTTGGGCGTGGGCTGGAGAGGCAGAAGCCCCTGCCCATTGGTGTCCCAGCACATGGAGCCCCTTGGGCTGAGCACCAAGACCTTGAACCTTTTTTGTTTTACCTTTTTTTCCAAATAACTGTTGAGAAATCTCAATGAAATCTCATGGGTGGGGTTGAGAGGGTGGGTGGGAGATTTGGGATTTAGAGTTGATAAAAACATTCCTGACAATCCTCCCTCTTAACCCAGTGGCTAATGTGGGGAGATGTGAGGGGGAGGAAGTGGAGTAGACTAATGATAAGGGGTTCTAATTCAGCTCTGTAGACAAATGCCTAGTGTGGATAAAGAGGCTGTTGATGTACACAGAGCAGATAGGCCCTCTGGTTCTGCAGAGCAAGACTCAATGTTAATTGTTCATTTAAAAAAAAAAAAGTGCTTTCCTTGAAATAGATTTGCTATGGAGAGAAGGGTAGTGAATGTTGGGGAAAGGAGCCATGAGTGTGGGGAGCCCCACTGAGCCCAGGGGACTTTTTCAGTATTTGAAATAAAAAACAACAAAAAAAGACCCATGAAAAAACCTAACCCAGAAATACTCTGAAGCAGTTGGTGTGTTTATTGGGGTTTGGGAAGGGCAAGAAAACCAGTGTGAAAACACTGTTCAGGGGAAAAGCTGGTGGTGTCCCTGAGTTTCTAAGGAACACAGAGACCTTTAATATGGGATATGGCTGGGCTGCCTGTTTCCATCATGTAGGAAAAGGGAGCATTCCTTTGGCATACAGACTTTTCTTAACCCCTATACATTTCTTAAGATGCATCAAACTCAGGTCATGGCTCACAAAGTGAGGGATGTAAGGTATTTGATCCAAATGGCTTGTTGACATAAAGCTTTGTCTAGACTCAGCAAAAAAGGAAGCCTATTCTTCCTTTTCCCTTTCAACTATCTTTTCCTTTGCCAGTTCCCATGCCTGTGAAGAAGAAATGTGTACTATTAGTAATAAACCAAAAGAAATTAAGTCTTTCTGCTTGTGGTCAGCAGAAGGCAGAGTGACTTCTTTCATCATGACGTGCCAACCTGCATTTCTGGAATCCTGCCACTGAAAGGAGTTAAAAGCTGCTTGTGAATGAAAGGTACTAAAGAAACATTAGCAAGGGAGAAACAACTCAGCTGCCCCTCCCTTCCACCATGCATCCCGTAGATACAAGTAGATAGAAACCACTGGCCCATTTAGCCCTCCTTTGATTAGGAGCTGATCATGTTTTTTTGGCCAAATGTGATTAGCTTTTGTACCGTTTATGCTGTGTGAGATAAACAAGGTCTGGGAGACAGATATTCCAGAGAAATCCCCATTGTGTTAAGGGATGGGGAGCATCTTGGAAACTGACAAAGGAATCTTGCTTTCAGCATCTGGCTGTTCCTACCTGCCCCCCAACCCCTGCCCTATTTTTTTTTTTTCCCCTTAATCAGAAGCTTTCCAAATAAATTTTCAACTACTTGGGATGTTTCTGGCTTGCTCTCTCCTGATTTAGCCAGGGGATTGTGGTATATCCTGACCATATGTCTGTCAATTATTTATTTAATTAATTTTTTGTGGTATTGGGGATTGATCCCAAGGCTGCATGAAAGTCAAGCATTCTACTACTAAGTTGTATTCCCAGCCCTTAATTTTTTTGAGATGGGATCTTGTCTCACCAAATTGCCAAGGCTGGACTTTAACTTTCAATCCTGCTACCTCAGCCTCCTGAGTAGCTAGGATTGTAGGATGCCTGGTCGCATCTGCCTTTAGGAGCAGCAGGCTAGTCTTTAAGTGAGCAAGGTGGTATGCAGGTATATTAATCTTTTATTTTTTGGTACTGGGGATTGAACCAAGGGCCCCTTTACCTCTTAGCTATATCTCCAGCCCTTTTTACTTTTGAGACAGGGTTTCGCTAAGTTGTGTAGGGCTCTTCTTGAACTTGGTGTCCTCCTGCCTCAGTTTTCTGAGTTGCTGGGATTACAGGTATGTGCCCTTCCTTGTTCCCAGTGGCATGAAGATACATTAAAAGCACTCTCTCTCTCATTGTGAAGTTTATTGTCTAAAATGAAAGAAAATGATATGTGAAAAAGTTGTTTTAACAGTTATAAACAAGTCTTAAAAAGCTATATATTCTAGGGATGCAAATTAATTTATTGCTTATCATGGTGGATTGGTGAATGTTCTCAATCCCATGACTTCTTTCTGAGTACATAATCCCTGGTGTAAGTTTGCCAAGTGGATAGGCTGGGGGATGAGGTCAGAGAAGCTGAATGTGGGATCATTTAGATAGTGAAATTTCATTTTAATACAGGTGAGGAAGTTGAGGTATAAAAATAAGTTACTTGGTGGGACTGTGGTTGTGGCTCAGTGGTAGAGCGCTTGCCTAGCATGTGTGAGCACTGGGTTCAATCCTCAGCACCACATAAAAATAAATTAAAAACATAAAGTCATTCTGTCCATTTAAAATAATAAGTTACTTGGGCTGGGGTTGTGGCTTGGTGGTAGAGCACTTGCTAGTATATGTGAGGCACTGCGTTTGATTCTTAGCACTTCATGTAAATTAAAAGTCCATCAGTAACTAAAAAAAAAAAAAATTTAATAAGTTACTTGTAGGGCTGAGGATGCTCAGTTGATAGAGTGCTTGCCTCACATGCACAAGGCTCTGGGTTCAACCCCCAGCACCACCAAAAACAAAAAAAGTGGCAAGGCAAGTTAGCTGAAGAGCCTGAGTTAGTATCTAGGTTTTTATATTATTTGGGTTTCCTTGTCCTTAATTTTAAGCTGTAGCTTTGGTAATCTTGAGTACCAAGAAATGTTTGTGGCTACCTATATTTCTGTTTGAAACTTGACATTTATTTTCCTTTACTCCCATATTCTCTCATACTCTGAAGAGCTAGGCAGCCAGGGAAAATGAATTCTGCAGTGCTTCAGATAATTATTCCTACTTGATATGTTAGCTAGGCATTTTCCAAAATCTATCACAGAGTTAAGCCAAAGACTCTTCTGCTCCAGCATGGTTGGGTGGTGATCATGCTGACAAGCTCTTGGCTGAGCCATCTTTATGGCGGCAGGAATGGAGTCACCATGATTGTCCAGCAGCATATGAAGCTAGTGTAGCCTGGGCATAGAAAAGGCAGACAAAAGAAAAATAGCTCTTCTCTGTACATGTATTGGGATCTGTTCTACCCTAGAGATAAAAGGACGATATTGGCATAGTTCCGAAACTAAGGGAAGGAGAGTCAGGAAATGAGTTGTCAGCTGGATGTTATTAGAGATGGATGACTTATTAGTAAAGATAATGTAAAACTTCCTATGCTTGTGAATATTTTAATTTACAAATAATTGTTGACTACTCACTTTTGGATTGAAAATGTTAGCTGTTGTTGAGTAGATAAACAAAGTAAGAGATGCTGTCTACCCTACAAGAACATGTATAGCTTCACTGGAATTACAACTTGTAATGCAAGATAGTGTATGATTAATCAGGCAGTAGAATTCTGAGAAGGGAAAAATCCATCTGGACTTCTAGGTAAATATTAGTGAAGGAAACAGAAATTGAACTGGGCCTTGAAAGGTAGGTAGTATTTAAATAATACAGTAATCATTTAGTAAGTGCCCACAATATGTGAGGCACTAAAATGCAAGGTGAGTGATATAGATTAGCTTTTTTTTTTTTTTTTTTTTTTATGGTACTGGGGAGATTGAACTCAGGGACACTCAACCACTGAGCCAAATCCCCAGCCATATTTTGTATCTTATTTAGAGACAGAGTCTCACTGAGTTGCTTAGCTTCTTGCAGTTGCGGAGGCTGGCTTTGTAGATGCTTCCTTCAAGAAGATTATACTCTAGTGGGAAACACACAAGTGAACAAACAATCTCTTATTACAGTGTTAAACTTGCAGCAGTGGAGGTGCAACTATGTAGAGGAATAGGGTTGTGTAATTAATAATAATTTTTAATGTAAGCATTCTTACTATTTTCATTATACAAAAGAGAAAGCTAAGACAAAAAATTCCCTTTAAAAGGAGAAAAGAGGAGGCTGGGGTTGTGGCTTAATGGTAGAGTACTTGCCTCATATGCATGGGGCACTGGGTTTGATCCCCAGCACCACAGAGAGAGAAAAAAAAATTAAATTAACAAAGCTGTTGTGTCCATCTACAACTAAAAAAAAAATTAGGAAAAAAATAAAGGAGAAGGGCTGGGGCTGTAACTTAGCGGCAGAGCACTTGCCTAGCTGGCATGAGGCACCAGGTTCAATCCTCAGCACCACATAAAAATAAACAAATAAAATAAAGGCATTCTGTCTATCAACAACTACAAAAAAATAAAAAATAAAAATAAAAAAGGAGAAAAGAGAAGAAAAAACAGAGGCAAAATTATTTTTCCCAAGCCCAAGTCATACAGGTTCTTTTTTCTTTCCTTTTCTTTTTTTTTTTTTTTTTTTGGTACCAGGGATTGTACCCCAAGTGTACTTACTTAACAACTGAGCCACATCCCAAGCCCTTGTTAATTTTTTGAGACAAAGTCTAGCTAAATTACTGAGTCTGGCTTTGAACTCCTGATCGATCCTCTTGCCTCTGCCTCCCAAGTCACTGGGATTATAGGCATGTGCCACCATGCCTGGCAGAGATTATCCATTTGATTTAACCTTTTTGAGACCAATTTTAATAGACTGGTTGAGATGGAATCTGGCTTGTAGAAATGAGTGATGTGGGAAGGTATTTTTTGTTTTAGAATGAAAATAAGTTAGGAATATTTGTTGGCTGAGCAAAAAGAATAAATAAAAGTTGAAATTCAAACAGAATGGTAATAAACAAAAAGCAGGGTTCTTAAAGATAAAGGAGAACATGCAGGGACTGGAGTTGTAGCTCTGGGGTAGAGTGCTTGCCTCGTATGTGTGAGGCACAAGTTCGATTCCCAGCACCACATCTAAATAAGCAAATAAAATAAAGGTCCATCAACAACTAAAGAAAAAAAAAAGGAGAACATGCAATAAGAGCACAGTAGATGTGGTTCAATTACACAATAGTCCAGTTCAGCAAGCATTTGTTGAGCATACTGTGTGCCAACCTCCATATTAGTGTTAGACTGGTTGGGAAGCCAACTCAGTAAGCAATTAGTCTCAAGTAGGAGGATGTATACTTCATCCTGCTTGAGATTGAAGGTGAAAAAGGAACATGGATAAATTCCCAGATGTTTGTGATTGGGGGTAAGTAATCAAAGGGAGTCCTTGTCTGAAAATTAATTTTCTTTGTAAAGTAGGATGTTGAGTTTTTGGTTGGGAATTGGGCAGGGAGCTTAATAATAATAGCCAAGCTGCTCTCCCTCTGGAGATGGCCAGCATTCTCTCTTGAATATGTATTTTTTACTTTGCCCCAAAAGCTTATCATTCTCAAGATGGCCAGTATTTTCCCTCGAATGCTGTGATTGTGTATTTACCCCAAAAGATGAATCTCCCTTTAGATAGCCTACACTCTCCCTTGATTATGTATCTGCTTTCCTAAATAAATTTATGTCTTAAAAAAAAAAGGAGCGAGAGCTTGGAGATGTAGCTCATTGGTACAGAGCTGGCTTAGCAAGCAAAGGCTCTGAGATCAAGCCCCCACACCACAAGAAGGAAAAGGAAGAGAGCTAGCAATGTAGCTCAAGGGTAGAGCTTTCCTAACATGTGCAAAGACCTGGGTTCATTCCCCAGTACCACAAACAAACCAAAGAGCTGACAAACACAATATTAAGGGCTGGGGATACAGCTCAGTTGGTAGAGTGCTTGCCTCACATGCTTGAGGCCCTGGATCTGATCCTCAGCATCACACACACACACAAAAGTATATTAAAAAGATATATTTATGCTGATACTGCCTTCATTTATTTATTTAGTATTTATTTTGGTACTAGGAATTGAACCCAGGGCACTTTACCACTGAGCTTTACCCCAAGCCCTTTTTATATCTAAATAAGCAAATAAAATAAAGGTCCATCAACAACTAAAGAAAAAAAAAAGGAGAACATGCAATAAGAGCACAGTAGATGTGGTTCAATTACACAATAGTCCAGCAAGCATTTGTTGAGCATACTGTGTGCCAACCTCCATATTAGTGTTAGACTGGTTGGGAAGCCAACTCAGTAAGCAATTAGTCTCAAGTAGGAGGATGTGGGAAAGTTCTTTCTAAGTTGCCTAGGGCCTTGCTAAATTGCTAAGGCTGGCTTTGAACCTGCCACCCTCCTGCCTCAGGCTAGAATTACAAGCATGGGCCACTGTGCCCAGCTATTAGTGCTGTTTTCTACAGCAGTACTCAGCTGCCTGGGTTCAAAGCCAGAGAAGAAGACATTGTGTAATTCCTGATAATTTTAAAAAAATTTTTTTTAGTTGTTGATGGACATTTATTTTATTTATTTGTACGTGGTCCTGAGAATTGAACCCAATGCCTCACACATGCTAGGCAAGCACGCTACCACTGAGCCACACCCCAGCCCATAATTCCTAATCATGATTTGTAGACACAAAAAGTAGACTGATGAGAAAAAGGGAAAGAAGGTCCTGGTGAAAGATAGTTTAAGGAAACAACCTAACTCTAGCTTAAATAAGACACTAGGCTTGGGGCTGGGGTTGTGGCTCAGTGGTAAAGCGTTTGCCTAGCATGCATGAGGCACTGGGTTCGATTCTCAGCACCATATACAAATATTAAAAAATAAAGATCCATCAACAACTAAAAAATATCTTTAAAAAAAAAGGAAAGAAAGAAACTAGGCTAAAGAGTGAGAAGATGCTCAAGAAAAATCTATAAGGCCAAAGAGCAGATGATTTAGAGGTTAGAATTAAGCTAGAAGCTCTGAACATTGTAGTTAGAATGATGTTGGAGTTTAATATTTTGAGCTGGGCATGGTGGCACATGCCTATAATCCCAGCAGCTCAGGAGGCTGAGGCGGGAGGATTGTGAGTTCAAAGCCAGCCTCAATAACTTAACAAAGTCGGATATGTGGCTCAGTGGTTGAGTGCCTCTGGTCTCAATCCCCAGACCAAAATCAAAAAAATTTTTGATTTGATCTGGAACAGTAGTGCACACCTATAATCCCAGCAACTCAGGCTGGGGCAGGAGGATCAGAAAGTCAAGACCAGCCTCAGCAACTTATCAAGGACCTAAACAACTAAATAAAACCTTGTTTCAAAAACTAAAAGGCCTGGGGATGTAGCTCAGTGGTAAAGTGCCCTGGGTTCAATTCCCAGTACAAAAAAAAAAAAATGATTTTAGAGTTGGAATTCTTCAGTGTAATAATATGGGCAATGGAGATGGGTGTTTGAAGTAAAGTAGGAGTTTTAAATTACTAAGAGAATTCTTAATATCCAGCTGTGAAGGTAGGTGGCTCCTATATCTGGTTTTGCACTGGTCTTGTTAAAAACTGAAGTTTTTTACAAAAGGAAAATAAAAGTCTCTGTTTAGAAAAAAATTATGGAGGTTAGAGAGTTGGATCAATAAATCAAGATGTTTAAATGAATCCAGAATTTTCAGGAGTGGGTAGGAGATGAAGCCAAGTGCCAATACTGGCAAAGAAGTAACCAAAAATAGCAGAGAATCTAAACAGTTTGACCTGATGAAATTAACTCCAAAACAGAAAGGGCCCTTGGAAGGGCTGAGGGTTAGCCCAGTAGTAGAGCACTTGCCTAGCACATGCAAGGCTTTGGGTTCAATCCCTACCACCACAAAATATAAAAATAAACATATTGGAGGAACAGTGGTCTGAAAATGATACCAAGAGGCTGTGTATCTCAATTCTCCCACTTTTTGGTATAGGGGGTGGAGGAACCCTTAGGTCAGCCAATAAATCAGTGTACTAGGAGAAACCTAACTGTAATTTGAATAAATATGTTGAGGGGTAAGGGGTAAGTATCAGAGAAATGAGGGGACCAAGGATGAAAGTATAGGTGAGTGGGAAAGTTCTGCATTTGGGGCACGGTTCAATGATTATAAAGATGGAAGATAGGCCTGGTGTGGTGGCATGTGCCTGTAATCCTGGCAGCTCAGGAGGATTGTGAATTCAGAGTCAGCCTCAGCAATTTAACGAAGCCCTAAGCAACTTGGATCATAGTCTCTAAATAAAAATATAAGAAAGGCCTGGGGATGTGATTCAATGGTTAAGCATCCCTGGGTTCAATCCCCTGAACCAAAAATAATAAGATGGAAGATATCCAGGCATCGTGGTGTACACCTATAATCTCAGTGACTCAGGAGGCTGAGGCAGGATTGCAAGTTAGAGGCCAACCTCAGCAATTTAGTAAGACCCTAAGTTGCTTAGCAAGACCCTCTCTCAAAATATAAAAAGGGCTGGGGATGTGACTCAGTGGTAAAATGACCCGGGTTCAATCCCCAGTACAAAAAAAAAAAAAGGAAAATAATTGTGCAATGAAATAAAATAACGTTAAGTTTCCCAACTTTGGTTTAAAAGTTGTCTCCTCTGCCATACTTCTTTCAAGCAAAAACAAAAAGAGAAGCAGAAGAAATTCAAAGAGCTAAATTAATTTAAGGCCACAGGGAATGTGCCCCTGGCCACAGCTGAAATTAACAAAACTAAAAAAATAAGCTATTCCTTCTGCCTGAGATGATGGTGACCCTTGATTTCATTCCTATTTAAATATCTAGATTCCTTACCACAATAACTTTTGCCACTTAACATCTAGAAAGAAGTGTTGTCTTGGAGTCTTACACATTTAAGAATAAAATTTTAGGCTGGGCACCTGTAGTTCCAGCTACTCAGGAAGCTGATTGGGAGGATCATTTGAGCATAGGCGTTCAATACCAGCCTGGACAATATAGCAAGACCCTGTCTCCAAAAAAAAAGGGGGGGGGCTGGGGTTGTGGCTCAGCGGTATAACACCAAGCATATGCGAGGCCCTGGGTTCAATCCTCAGCATCACATATAAATAAATAAAATTTAAAAAAAAATGCTAAGCATGGTCTCATATGTCTATAATGCCAGCTACTCAGGAGGCTGAGATAAAAGCATTACACATTACACAAGTTCAAGGCCAGCCTGGGTAACTTAGGAAGACCCTGTCTCATGTCTCAAACAAAAGGGCTCGGGATGTAGCTCAGTGATAGACTGCTTGCCTAGCATGTGTGAAACTTGGGTTTGATCAGGCCCACTTCTCAGGGTGCTGGTGGTAGACAGGTCAAGATTCCACCTCTGAGAAGACACTGCAGGAAAAAGATAATAGGATATTATCTTTTGATTACAAAGAAAAGTAAATAAAAACAGAAGAGGATCCTTCATTCACTCATGTAACATTTACTGAACTACCATATAGCAGATACTTTCTGGATTCAACAATAAACAGAGTAAAGCCTCAAAACCAACAAATCAGGAAATACAAAGCATACAGAAAAGTATTTTGTATAGCTTTGAAGGGCCTTTGAATTCTACATTCCTCTGCTCTTGGGTTTTATAGTCTGATCCTGTGCTCAGATGCAATCATAGGTCAAACTGTCTTCAATGACTTCCGACCTCTACATTCATAATCTCTTCCTCTCACTTCAGGAAGGAAACAATGTCCTTTGCTACATCTTTCCTTAAAGAGACAACTGACCTAGAATTGCTCTTGTGAAAGAAAGGTGGTAGGTCTAGGTAGAGCCTTATTTTCTGACTCCCCCATAACCCTTCCCTTTGTACTTATCAAAAGGCTAAAGCTTATGTAACTGACAAGGACAGGATTCACTGTGTGGTTTGGGTCTGTGAAACCCTAGGGTACAATTCCAGAACAATGGGAATATAGTGTCCCTTAGAGTTATAAGTGGGTAGCGTTCAGCCTGCTTTCACAAGTTATGTAATCAACCAAATATCTTAGGCTTGGCGAAGTACCCTTTTTCTTTTCTTTTTTAAAAATAGTTTTAGTTATAGAATGGACACAATAAGTTTATTATATTTTTGGTACTGGGGATTGAACTCAAGGGCATTCAAACACTGAGCCACATCCCCAGCCCTATTTTGTTATTTTATTTAAAAACAGGGTCTCACTGAGTTGCTAAGCACCTCACTTTTTGTGTGTGTGGTGCTGGGATTGAACATGTGTGCCTTGCTTTTGCTGAGGTTGGCTTTGAACCCTCAATCCTCCTGACTCAGCCTCCCAAACCACTGGGATTACAGACGTGTGCCACTGCACCTGGCTTATTTGCAGCGATTTTTTATGTGTTACTGAGGATTGAACCCAGTACCTCACATGTGCTAGGCAAGAGCATAAACAGCCCCAAAGTATCCTTTGATTCTTTTTTTTTTTTTTTTTAAGAATTTTGAGAGAGGGGCTGGGGATGTGGCTCAGGCGGTGGCGCGCTTGCCTGACGTGTGTGGCCTGGGTTCGATCCTCAGCACCACATACAAACAAAGATGTTGTGTCCGCCAAAAACTAAAAAATAAATATTGAAATTCCCTCTCTCTCTCTCTCAAAAAAAAATAAAAAAAAAAAAAAAAGAATTTTGAGAGAGGGGCTGGGGATGTGGCTCAAGCCGTAGTGCGCTCACCTGGCATGCGTGTGGCCTGGGTTCTATCCTCAGCACCACATAGGAAAAAAAAACAACAACAAAGAAAACTAAAAAAAAAAAAAAAAGTAAATAAGAATTTTGAGAGAGAGAGAATTTTAATATTTATTTTTAGTTTTCGGCGGACACAACATCTTTGTTTGTATGTGGTGCTGAGGATCAAACCCGGGCCGCACGCATGCCAGGCAAGCGCGATACCACTTGAGCCACATTCCCAGCCCCAAAGTATCCTTTCTTATGTATGTAGTATTAAGATTGAACCTGGGCTGGGGGTGTGGCTCAAGCGGTAGCGCGCTCGCTTGACATGCGCAAGGCGCTGGGTTCGATCCTCAGCACCACATACAAATAAAATAAAGATGTTGTGTCCACCGAAAACTAAAAAATAAATAAGTATTTAAAAAAAAAAAAAAAAAAAGATTGAACCCAGGGGCACTCTACCACTGAGCTACATCTCCAGCTCTTTTGTTGTTTTTATCTTTTTGTTTTTGTTTTTGTTTTCACTTTAGGGCTAAATTTTAATAGAATGTGAGTTTGAACTCATACACTAAAACCCTTAAAATTACTGATTGGTTCAAAGTAGTTTTATGGAAAAATTAATCTGTAACAAAAACTTGGCATTGAGTGTAAAGGCTCCACTGTTATTGACCAAAGCATACAAAGGTTCCAAGGGGCAGGATCAAGAACGAGGGACTGGGGCTGGGGTTGTGGCTCAAGCGGTAGCGCGCTCGCCTGGCATGCGTGCGGCCCGGGTTCGATCCTCAGCACCACATACAAAACAAAGATGTTGTGTCCGCCGAAAACTAAAAAACAAATATTAAAAAAATTCTCTCTCTCTCTCTCCCCCCCTCACTCTATCTTTAAAAAAAAAGAGATCTGACAATGTCTAGTGAAATGTAAAACATAATACTTGTAGAATTTAAAAAAAAAAAGAACGAGGGACTTGGACATTTACAGCAGCAGGCATTTTCTCTTCCTCTTCTTGACAGGAGGTGGGCAGAGAACTGCTCGGATAGCTTCATCAAACAGTCTTGAGGCCTTGCTGTGGGAGTGCTGAACACTCCAGGTATTTTACAGCACCAGTCTCCTTAGCCATGACTAACCCTTGTGGATAGGTGATGGGAGTCAGCTTCTTCTCCTTCAGTTCCTCAATTGTGTCTTTATCATCCCTAAGATCAAGTTTAGTTCCCACTAGGATGATAGGAGTGTTGGGACAATGGTGTCGCACTTCCGGATACCACTTTGCACAGACATTTTCTTTTTTTTTTTTTTTTTTTTTTAAATATTTATTTATTTATTTTAGTTTTCGGCAGACACAACATCTTTGTTTGTATGTGGTGCTGAGGATCGAACCCGGGCCGCACGCATGCCAGGCGAGCATGCTACCGCTTGAGCCACATCCCCAGCCCCTTGCACAGACATTTTCAAATGATGAAAACATCTGTTTGTGGATAGGAGAGGGGACGCAATCTGTCATAATCTTCTTGTCCAGCTGAATCCCATAAGCCCAGATTCACTGGTTTCCCATCTACCATAACATTGGCAGAATAGTTGTCAAAAAACAGTGGGGATATATATACTCTCCAGGAAATGCAATGTTGCATAACTGATCAATAGGCAAGTTTTACCTACAGCTCCATCTCCCACCACCATACACTTGACGGCCTGCTTATCTTGTTTTTTGAGACAGGGTCTTGCTATGTTGCTGAGGGTCTCCCTGAGTTGCTGAGGCTGGCCTTGAACATAAACTTCTCCCACTTCAGTCTCCTGAGTCTCTGGGATTACAGGTGTGTGCCACCACACCCTGTGTGAGTACGATTTCTTGAACACATTGATTTATTTCAGTCTTCCTCATCTCTGTCAGTGTCATTACCCTGTATCTAGTTTTTCCAGAAATGGACTCCTTCCTTCCTTCCTTCCTTTTTTTTTTTGTATTGGGGATTGAACACTGGAGCACTTCATCACTGAGCTATATCCCCATCCTTTTTATTTTTATTTTTTATTTTGAGACAGAGTCTCATTAAGTAGCTGAGGCTGGCCTAGAATTTGAGATCCTCTTGCCCTAGTCTCCCAAGTCACTGGGGTTATAGGAGTGTGCTGTCATGTCTAACTAAAGACTTCTTTTTTATTTCTATATTTAAACCTTAATCTCAAACATGAACTGTTTATTGCTACCTCTCTCTCACTTGAATTGCTGTAGTTGCCTCCTAACCGGCTTCTTCTTGCATCAGCATAGTTTATTATCTAAGCATAGACAGTGTACTTTTTAAAACATATCAAGCTGGATGTGGTGGCACATGCCTATAATCCTAGTGAGTTGGGAGGCTGAGGCAGGAGAACTCCAAGTTCAAAGACAGCCAGCAGTTTCCAGGCCAACATCAGCAATTTATCAAGACCCTATCTCAAAGAATAAAAAGGGCTGAGATGTAGCTCAGCAGTAGACTTGCTCTGGGCTTAATTCCCTGGTACCACAATAATAATAATAATAGTTAAATAAATATATATCAGATCACATCACTCCCTGATCAAAACCTGCCAGTGAGCCATGTGTGGTGTTGTACACTGCCATCCCAGCTACTTGGGAAGATTTCAAATTTAAGGCCAACCTGGGCAATTTAGCAAGAGTCTGTCTAAAAAATAAAAAAAGGCTGGGGGAGAGCTGGGTGTTATGGCACACACCTATAATTCCAGTGATTCAGGAGGCTGAGGCAGGGAGATTAAAGTTTGGAGGCCAGCCTCAGCAAATTAGCGAATTCTTAAGCAAATTTAGATCCTGTCTCAAAAAAAAAAACAAAAAGAACTGGGGATATAGCTCAGTGGTAAAGCACCCCTGGGTTTAATCCCCACTATTAACCAACAACAACATAAAAAGTCTAGAGATGTAGTTAGTGGCAGAGTGCTTACCTAGCATGTGCAAGTCCAATTTTGCATTGCCAGCAATGAAAAAAAAAAAAAGTGAGGGAGAGGTCTGGGATGTAACTCAGTGGCAAAGCATCTGCTTTGTATTCACAAAGTCCATTCAGCCCCCAGTTCCAAATAAATGAATAAAAGGCATCTGGAGAGTAGCTGTGGATATAGCTGAATACAAGAGTGCTCCTAAGTTCAGTCCCCAGTACAGCAAATAAATAAATTAGATAGATGATAGATAACAGATTAAAAAAAAAGTGGGGGGCTGGGATTGTGGCTCAGCTGTGGAGCGCTCCACCGCTCACCTAGCACGGGCGGGACCCGGGTTCGATTCTCAGCACCACATAAAAATAAAGGCATTGTATTGTGTCCATCTACACCTAAAAAATAATATTAAAAAAAAAAAGACTTAATGGTGGTAGAGTACTTGCTTTAGTGTGCTCAAGGCCCTAGATTCCATCCCCAGTACCACAAAAACCACCAAACAGGGCTGGGGATGTGGCTCAAGCGGTAGCGCGCTTGCCTGGCATGCGTGCGGCCCGGGTTCGATCCTCAGCACCACATACAAACAAAGATGTTGTGCCTGCCGAAAACTTAAAAATAAATAAATATTTAAAAAAAAAAAAAACAAAAAAAAAAAACCACCAAACAACAATAACAAAACACCTTCTGATGGCTGTCTATTTGGGATAAAATCAAAATAAAGCCAAATTTCTGGGGCTAGGGTTGTAGCTCAGTGGTAGAGCACTTGCTTAGCATGTGCAAGGCACTGGGTTCAATTCTCAATACCATGTCAAAATAAATAAATAAAATAAATGTCCAACCACACACACAAAAATAAATAAATAAATAAATATTGGGGAAAATAAATTCCTTTGCATGGCCTGTAAGATCTTTTGTGCTTTGGTCCCTGCTCTTTTTGTATTTCCTTTCTCTATAGCCACATTATGCTCAAAACACACTTGCTCTTTAAATATAGTGAAACTTATCCAGATGCGGTAGTGCATGCCTGTCATCCCAGCAGCTTGGGAGGCTGAGGCAGTAGGATCATGAGTTCAAAACGAGCCTCAGCAAAAGTGAGGTCCTAAGCAACTCAATAAGACCCTGACTCAGTGGTCGAGTGTCCCTGAGTTCAATCCCTCATATAAATAAATAAATAAATAGATAGATAGATAGATAAAGTGAACTTGTTCTTTATACTGCCTTTACATTTTGTGTTCCCTTTACCTGTAATGTGCTTCCCCTAGATTCATGCCTCTTCACCATTTTCAGGACTCTACGCTTCCTTGGAGATGCCATTCTGATAATGCTATCAAATCATCCTATCCCCTTCACTTTCTGCTGCAGTTATATGGTAAACAATCATTGTTTTCTTCTTCATTACTTTCTTCCAAGAATGAACATTTCATTAGAATAAGAACTTTGTCGTATTTATTGATAAATTCCCAGCATCAAAAATGGGAATTTGGGCCAGGCACAGTGGCATTGTCAGCAACAAGAGGAATGGTGTTTGGCCAGGTATGGTGGTGCAAACCTGGAATCCTAGCTACTCAGAAGGCTGAGGAAGGATGATTGCAAGTTAGAGGCCAGCCTTGACAACTTGATAAGACTTGTCTCAAATTTTTCAAAAGAAAGTGGAGATGTCACTTGATGGTAGAGTACTTGCATGGCATATGCAAGAAAGAAAGAGAGAGAGAGAGAAAGGGATAGAAAGGAAGAAAAGGAAAGAAAGAATGGTGTTTGGCACATAAGTGATCAATAAATATTTATGGGAGGAATGAATTGTTCACTAACTTTATAGTTCAGATTAATATGTAAACATTCAAAAAATATAAAGACTTTGCTAATCACCGTGGCACACATGTATCATCCCATTGACTTAGGAGGTGGAGGCAGAATGATTTAAAGTTAGAAGGCAGCCTCAGCTACTTGACACTATCTCAAAAAAAGTGGGATGGAGTGGGGGGGTTTGGGATGTAGCTCAGTGGTAAAGCATCCCAGGTTCAATCCCCAGTACCAAGTAAAGAAGAAAAATAAAAAAGTTTGACTTCTTTAAACAGGGTCTGGATGGCAGCAGCAATGGATAAATAAGCAGGAAAATAAAACCTTTAATGAGAGAACATAGACTGTCACTCTCCAAGCAATGCTGTGTCTACCTTTTGGGAAACTTCTACATGAGCCAAATGCTCACATTATCAGCCAAGGGATGGCTTTCTCTGTAAGAGGTTAAAATGTCTTCTTGGGCTGGGGATGTAGCTCAGTGATACACTTGCCTACCATGTGCAAGGCACTAGATTTGATCCTCAGTACTGCAAAAGAAAAAAACAAGTGTTATTATGACAGTAAGAGAGACAGCATTAACTACTGATAACCACATTGTGGTGGTGACTTCTTCAGGTAAGAAACATTTTGGTATGAATTGCAGCTAGGAGTCTCATATTCCCATGTATTAGTCATGTGATAATTTTTAATGTTCTTTTTATAGTTAAATATACAGTAGCCAGGAATAGT